AGTTTTAGTTTCATCTTGGCGACCAGCAAATGATGATCGGATGCTATATCAGCTCCTCTTCTGGTTCTCATATCCTCCATCGTCCTCCTGAACTTTTTGTTGATGCAGATATGGTCGATTTGATTCTGTGTAGTGTGATCCGGTGAAATCCAAGTGGCTTTGTGTATGCTTTTGTATGGGAATATGATGACACCTATGACCAGTTTATTGAAGGCACATAGGTTTGCAAATCTCTCACCATTTTCGTTCCTTTCTCCCAGTCCATGTCGTCCCATGACGTCTTCGTATCCAGTGTTGTCCTTTCCAACCTTGGCATTGAGATCTCCCATCAGAATGGTCAGGTCTTTGGTTGGGCACTTCTCGAAGATCGACTGCAGTCTATCGTAGAATTGGTCTTTAGCGTCCTCATCGTAGTCGTTGGTAGGCGCATAGCATTGGATGACGTTCATTGTAATGCCCTCTCTCTTTGTTTTGAAGGAGGCTTTGATGATCCTTGGTCCATGAGATTCCCATCCAATAAGTGCATTTTGTGCTTTTCTGGACATCATCAATGCAACTCCTTGTTTATGTGGGGCATTTTCTTCTTCATGACTGGAGTATAACAGAAGTTCTCCTGAAGACAGTCGTTGTTGTCCAACATGCGTCCAATGTGTTTCACTGATTCCAAGATCCTCCAGGTTGTATTTTCTCATTTCTGCAGCAATTTGAAAGACTCTTCCGGTCTCCCACATTGTTCGGACATTTCATGTACCTATAAAAATTGTTGTTCTGGTTGTAAGAAGGTGCATCGGCCTCATGACTGCCGAATGAACTCGGCTTTCATCATGAGACGTCATTATTCCTTCTACTCCCAGGGCAGAGTTTGAAAGGTTTGAATGATTTTTTCTGGTTAGCGTTTTTTTAGCGAGTTGATTTTCTACGGGATGGGGTCGCTAACCCCATGCCCAACCCTCCTCCTTTACCCGGGCTTGGGACCGGCAGCAACCCCCAGAGGAGCTACAGGCGGAGTTGATAGAAGAATAACGAAATGAATAAACTCCTAGTACGTTACATAATCCAAATATATTAATACCTGAATTTTCAAATAGGGAATCCGGTGAGGATGGACAAATGTGATGAGACCAATTAATTACGGTCAAATAGACAGTGGGAAATCATAAAACATTTACCAATACCTTGAAAAGGTTGGTGGTTATATGGTCTCACAAGTGAAGTGGATAAACCTTCAATGTTTTAAACGATAGGAACTGGGTTCAAGTCTTAGTGTGAATATCAACGTCGGGATGAGGACGCAACTACCTGACAAGTCCTATATAGGATAAAAGACACAAATCTCATTTGATATGTGTGAGGGATATGATACCACCCAGGTGCCCAAACTGAAGCACATGGTTTTCTTAGGGGGCCACACTCAGAGCCTTTGACCTAAAGGTCTAACCCACAAGGCAGTGGAGCATTGTGGGGAGATGCAGTCCCATGATAGCCGGTGACCAACGATTGATTCATACGCCATTTGTTCCCTCAGAACACTAGAGTCCATGTGCACCATTGGGTTGGAATCAGGGTTTCCTAGCTCCCCTAGGTGGACTCACTGTGTCCACAGGCCCGGTTAAAGCACCGGACATTCGCTTTTCGTTCTCTCAATTTTGTAAACATCATTCCCACTGCGAGAAGGCAATGAGTAGGACTTCCTTGACAGTGGCTTTATACACGTGGCCATGTGAAAGCATTTCAGTTGATGTTGACTCCGAGTCCTGGATTTCACTGCTAGCCACCATTCATCTCTACTTAATATAAGTTAATACATTTGGAAATAACACATCTGACGCTAGAAATTCATTGGGTAAGGATGAATGCAATTATCTTAAAAAATGATTATTGCAGAAAGATAATATTAGTGGGGAGATGTTTATTCACGGGAAACACTATATCGTTGTTACAACCATAGACCATTTATAATAACTATTTCCATACTGAACTCCACATTTGCAGGCTCATCAATCAACCTGTTGGTGTTAAAGTAAGCTCAAAGAAAGCTAAGGATGACAAAATTTGAAACGTCTATGAATTCATTGAGAGTTGAATTACCTGTTTTGGATTTCTGCGTTTATTGCAAACACTGGGGTAATGTTAATGGTTGTGTTGACTTGAGTATGAACTCGGAAATTAGCTGTTCAACACGCAAAACACAATGGCATTTTGTGAATATTAGTGCTTGAAATTAAAAGTCTATACATGTATATTTGGATCCTCTTATTGGTATTTAGGACTGCAATTGATCAGTCTCTTATGACATATATGGATCCTACCTTGATGTTGTCGTTAAGTAAGAGACATTATAAGCAGTGGAATCCAAGACATGTATTTCGTCCTGCTTGGGACTCGTCAGCTGGATGAACCTACATCCCAAAGTTGATGTTTGCTCTGAGACCGAGTCCTGGATTTCTGAGTCTATTGCAAGTTGTGTGGTATGGTGTCGAGGTACCCACTATTTGTCTTTCCTTAAGTTTTAAAGTTATCTTATACATTTTTTATTCCATGAATTCATTCTTTCTTCTCGAACTAAGTCCCCTATGTAATATTATTTTCAACTAACAATAGCATTTATAAGGTTAAAGTACTTCTTTCACTGACAAACACTGCCATAGAACCTCACGATCAACGGAGTCAAATGACGCCTTAAGGTCGAGAAATACTACTATTGTGGGACGTCTGAATGTGTGTCTATGTTTTAGGACCTGACGTAGAGTGAATATCTGGTCTATACAACCACGTCCAGGTCGAAAACCAGCCTGGTTTCCTCTAGTCTGCTCTTCACGAGCTTTGATTAGGCGTCGAATTATTATTGAAGTTAATATTTTAGATACTATATTAGTCAAACTGATCCCTCTGTGATTGTCACACGAAGACTTTTGTCTTTTATTATAGACTGACACAATCAGTGATTGGGACCAATCAGATGGAATTACGTCCAGTTCCCAGATTCTACCTAAGACCTTGGTCAATCTCGCTGCTATTACTGGACCGCCATCCTTAAAAATCTCAGAGGTGAACCTGTCAGGGCCTGCTACTCTCCCACGCTTCGAAATTCCTATAGCTTTTTTGACCTCGTAAATAGTTGGTGGACTTACATTAACTTGCCATTCAGGTCGACTGGGGATCGTGGGGAACCGGAATGTAGCTGAAGGCCAATTGAACTGATCCCTAAAGTGTTTTGCCCACCGATCCAATCTCCTGGATTAAGAATGCATAATATGTTCATCTTTTTCCGAGATAGTTGGGTTCCTAATACCGCTTTCTTTAACAAGTTTGAATAGTTGTCTGCTGTTGCATATTGCCACTGCCTTTTCCATCTCTCTTGCTTTCGCTACCCACCACTGTTCGCAATCATTGCGTAGACTTCTTATTAGCCTGCTTTTAAGCTGACTACGCTCTTCGTTATGTTCAGAGCCAAATGAGATGCGTTTTTGAGCATCTATCAGTGAGGTAGATGCTGCTGAGTTCCAGTGTTTCTCCCTAACCTTATAGTTTACCGTACTAGCAGATATCACTGCTGTTTCCACAGCTTTACGGATGTCATTCCACTTACATGCCTGCCTAACTGTTTTCCTAGTTATTCCTGCAATATATATTTTTAGCTTGCCTATCATTAAGTAAGACCCTAAGAAGTTTCCTTGCAGCGTCTTTCCCATGTCCAGTAAGACGCAGACAGATACGTGCTCGCACTAGAGCATAATTTGAATGTAAGCATGTGCTTCGGAACGAGCTACAGTATATTATCGAGCCCCTCCATCGGTGGCTGGCAGCGACGTAATCTATTTGAGTCCAACGTTGAGACGAATTCGGGGGTCGCTATGTCAAAAGATGTTTTTCCTTATGCTTAAAGTTAGTATTTGCAAGAAACAGGTGGTTATCTAAGCATAGATGCAACAGACGGTCGCCATTATCTGTCCTTTGAGCCACGATACCATAAGATCCACCCAGGTGTCTTTCCCCTTCACTTAATTTACCTACTTGAGCAATTAAGTCGCCAGCCACCATTACTACATCAGAGTGCCTAGCTTTTCGGAGAGGGTCGGGAAGCTTTCTGTAAATCTCATCTTGTACGTCATCTGAGCTGCAGTCAGTGGGAGAGTAGGCAGAGACGACGAATAGGCAACGACAAGTGTCCCTATCTTTCTGAGTCCTTGCTGTTCCGTTTACTCGGACAGTGCACAGAGGACTGTCTACTGGGATCCAGTTCAAAAGAGCTAGTTCTGCCCTAGGACTCAATGCTATACCTACACCAGCGAGGCCACGGGAAGCAGCATCAGGGATCCAAGATACACGAAGTGTGAATCGAGTTGGTTCTTTATTCTGACATAGTGAGGTCAAATGAATGACTGCACTCGGATCCTGCATTTCGGAGACGCAGCACACATCAATGGTGCGAGATTCTAAAGTTTTAGCTAAGAAAGCCTGTTGTCCTATTTAATAATAATAATAATATATTCTGAAAATAATATATTATTATTATAAGTTATTACAATATTGTACAATGTTCGGACGTTCAAAGTTCCTACATGTGGTTTAGAGAGTGGTTTCAGGAGACCAAGTGGTGCGAGGTGATAAAAGGACGTGGGAAGTGTTAGTCGTGGAGATAAGTGAGTTAGTAGAAGGTGTAGGAAGAATTTGAATGTAACCAATTTGGTCTCATGTGCAGTTACAGGTATGAGGGCTAATATCACTTCCCGGCTGCCCACACCGTGGAAGGATATTTCTTGAGGAACCTGATAAGAAAAATAGATTAATGTTTGTTTTAACGACCTGGGAGCGTGACCGTAATACCCAAAAGACAACTGATTGAGGCCAGTCATAGACGGCCTTTTTGTGGGGGGATTTACACGTGTTAGCTCCGTTCTTCAACGGACCCTACCGCCATGTTAAGGTAGCAGCAACGGTCGGGATTGATTATTAAAACCAGTATTCAACACTATATTTATAATAAACTGACTTCAACCAAATAGAATACCATAATAAGTAATAATTTTTTGAACATAAAATTGTAAGCAAAATAAAAGATACTCAAGATTTTTCGAAAAATGTTTATATATACATATATATACTACTTATAATATATTAGTAATATGTAACATAATTTAACATTTTAAAAAGGGTTGTGTATTTTTCTTTCTTTTATTTAAATACATAAATATCAGTACAAAGAGGTATTTAATACATATACTTCACATACCTCATTAGATCTATGTGAAGGCTGTACTACTGCCGGAATGCCTAAACCAAAAGATAATTGTTCCACATTGAATGATCTTATATAATTTTCTTTTTTTTTTAAAAAAAAGAAGGGTAACTCTAACAGATCGATGATTAACACAAAAAAGTATAAAAAAATATAGAAAAACATTTAAAAAAAAGAAAAGAAATTTACATCATCACAATATAAATCATAAACATATGAGCAACTAAAATGGATAACCAATTGGGGAAATAAAAGAAAACCCCAAAAAAAAGAAAAGAGGGGGGAGAGGAGGGAAAATTTATAAGTTAAAGAAGACCAAAAAAGAAAAGAAGAAAAGAGAAACAAAGTGCATAACTAACTAAAAAAAAATAAAATAAAAATGACTAAACGTAGAAAGAAAGCCGAAGAAAGAAAAGAGGTAGGAGAAGAGAAAACTTACTAGGTAAAGTAAACCAAAAAAAAAAGAAAAGAGAAACTAAAATATATAATAAATTGGAAAATAAAAGAAATATTATTAGATAGAGAAAGAAAACCAAAAAAAGAAAACAGAGGGGGAGTAGGGAACAGTTACTACAGAGAGAAAACTAAAAAAAAAGAAAAGAGGGGGAAAGAAAATTTACCAGAGAAAAGGAGAAGAAAAAGAATCATTGGAATAAATTACGTCTTAGATGTAATATATTATTATTATTATTATTATTATTACATGATTGATTTTCAATAATTGGTATTATTCTTTTACTATTATATACACTATTATGATTTGTAAATGTATAATAATTTGATTGAATATGATTATTATTAGTTTTTAATTCAATTGATGATGATGTTTGGATATTCCATGGCAACTGATTTAATACTGGTGATAATGATAAATCTATTGAATTCTCATCCCATAAATGACGTGAATTATTATTATTATTATTTTGTTTTGTTAATGATTGAATTTGAGATTTTGATGATAATGAACATGATGATGATGATGCTGGGGAGTTCAATGGATTTGGATCAATATTCTCCAAGTTATCATTATCATGGTTATCTTCAGATAATTTATGATTAGATATACTATTAGATGGTTCATCAATTCCACCAAATAAACGTTTACGTAATGCTATACATATAGAATTACTTTGACTACTATTCATTGTTGTAGTATTATCAATAGAATCACTAAAATTATAAATAAAATACAAAGAGATCATCAAGATAGGAATCAAGATGTAATAGATAAACAAAAAAAGTTGATCCATTTTGGGTGGAGGGGGGCAGAGAGTAGATATTGTCGCGTTTTATTCACTGTTGGTAAAGTAATAATATTTTCAGAAGGGCGTTTTATGAAGATTTTAGTAATTTTATATAGTTCAGGTTATGAGTCAATGTAAGCTAGACAACAATGGAAACCCTGGAAACACTATACGGCCGTTTCGTCCTACCTTGGAACTCCTAAGAAGTGCACATCCAAGACCCCGCCTCACCGGATTCAAACCCAGGACCTACCAGTCTCGCGCCAGGGCACTTAGCCGGCCGGCACACAACGGTGTTAATGTCTAACCTCAACCAATCCACGAGATTGGGCGACCAACTTCCATTGTACTGAGGTAGATACCTGTCTCTACCTGACATGGATTAGTTCTACTCGTCACTACTTCTTGCTAGAACTCCAGGAATTAACTCATGGAGCCAGTCACAATAGGATGAAACGTCCGTCCAGTGCTTTCAGGTCTTCAATGGTGGTCTAGCTTCAATCGAATCATGATCTAAACTATATATAATAACATTTTATTTTTTGTTTGAAATCATAAACCGACTGATGTTAGACCACTATTGAAACCCTGGAAGCACCGGACGGCCATTTCGTCCTAGTATGGGACTTCTCAGCAGTGAGCATCCACGACCACACTCGTGGGATTCGGTTCATGATCTCAATCAAAACATAATAATTTTCACAACCCTATACTGATATTTGATTTTATACCTGTTCAATTCTATCAATCATAAGCTTTTGTTGAATGTATCTAAATCACTGCCATATTGTTTTCTATTGTAATTTGAATGCAACCTTTCGTATTTCTTTTTTCCCCACTTTAATATCTCAATTTCAATAAAAAATTGTATGCTTTATCTATGTACCTTTTTGAATTAAATCAGTAATGAGTAAATAGGATACACAGTTCCAGATAAATCGTCTTCTCCTTCCGTTCAATTACAACGGTCCTATTAGGAAAGTTTGTGTTCTTTCTACTTTCAAGAATATTCCGGAATAAGTCTCAAGGTTGCACTAAGCAACCTATCACGTCAAGGCCGTAAATGAGATTGAGAAAAATAAAATACCACATTAAGCATGAAATAATGAGAAGATACATCAAGGACATAACAAGAAAGGAAATGCATGTTCAATCAGTTAGACAGCTGCAACGTGGGACCAGCCACATATACGCAACGGTTCAACTTGCCATAGTAAGCGAGATAAAGGACATAACAACAAACATATACATAATTTGTATATACAATACAGATATACAAACTGATCTAATTGGGACTGAAATCTTATAGGCTGAACCTAATCAGCGTTAATATAACTTTTTAAGCAACAAATAAAATGATTAAAAAGTTGGATCACTCATATTTTTGTTTATACGAAAAAAACATTGTAAACATCCTAGAAACTTTGCTCAAGATGTTGATGAATGCATAATAGTATTTCTTTAACATGATTACATACTTTACGTCAATTATAGAATCTCTAGACAAGAAATGAACTACTTAAAACAATAAGGTCACGAAAGTTCATTTCCATAAGTAGTACAATCTGATGGTAAATCAGTTGATGAGCTTGTGGATCTTCATCAGCTGAGATGGTTGGGTCACGTATGCCTGAACACCGATCAACACGACGCGCTATGCTGACTTGTATTGACGATGATTGGAAGAAAGTTAGGGGCGGCCAAACCAAAATGTGGCATCAGTGCTTGAAGTCACTAACTTCTAGTCTGAGCCATGTTGGTAGATGCAGATTACTTGGTCGCGGTCCACGTGACTATCGTAACCAATGGTTGGAGAATCTGCATGACATGGCTCAGAATCGATCACAATGGCGCAAATGTATACACTCTTTATGTTTCCTCAAACCTTGAGACCAAAATTGCTTCATATCTGTCTTCTTTTCTATACTATCTTTTTATACAATCTTTCTTTTGTATATTACCACCAATAAATTAAGTAGTTCTATGGATTTGGTGTTCATCTTATTGTGCTAATAAGGTGTGGCAACTTTGACCGATGCATATATATGCCTGATCCTACGTTGTAGCTGACTGATTGGAAATCTGTGTTACAGTTGAACAGGAGTAGTTATAATGGAAATTCCTGATAGAGGACACATCTGGAGTATCGTTAAATTTCGGTGAAGACAAATCAAACAGATCCTTTCATTTTTGATCACACTGTAAAGTGTTTAGATTATATATATATAACTTATGAAAAGGAATTATAAATGAGATCAAATATCAACCAAAAAACAGAACTATCAGCATAAAGATATAAATATGTATATGAATCAATGATATTTCTTTCACACACTTACCTAACTGCAACTGAAGGACGATTGAATACATGCAATGGAGCAAATGGTGATTGATGAATAGGTTTAACTACTGAACATATAGTAAATACAGATGGTTTACAATTATTGATTATATCAGATTGTTTTGGATCACTAATACTAATAGTAGTGGAAGATGTAGTATTAGCAGTAGTACTAATAGTAGTATCTAAAGTACTATAGTCACTACTGTTACTGTTAGAAATACAATTGATATTACGTTTAGGTGCATTTATTAAGTGGTCAGCTATGAAATTATTACTACCAAATGAATATGGTGTATGATTTCCGGACATATCATGAGAATTAGGTGATCCAGTGGAAACTTGATGATGAATATTAGTGGTAGCTGGCATAGTTGTTGTGACAGCTAATGTATTCAAACGAAATACAGGAGGTTGTGTTGGTGTACAAACTGGAGATATTTTTCTACGTTTTCTATACATAAAAAAGAAGTTTCAAAAAGGAACAATGTTAATAATAAATATTATCATTGATAACAATAATATGAAGAAACAAATTCATTCACATTCCATAGTATCTAATAGTCTTCAGTTTGAGCCCCCAAATGCCCTAGTACGGCCGTTAGTGGGGAGAGTTAGCTCTCCCTATCGAAATGCCAAGCGTATATAGCTTCTGCCAGGGAATGCCTGCTCGCTGCCTTCTCACACCAGGGGTGTTTTCTACGAAATTGGGAGAACGAAAAACGAATGTCCGGTGCTTTAACCGGACCGCTGGACACAGTGAGTTCACCTAGGGGAGTTGGAAAACCCTGATTCCAAACCAATGGTGCACATGGGCTCCACGGTCCTGAAGGAACAAATGGCGTATGAACCAATCGTTGGTCACCGGCTACCATGGGACTGTATCTCCTCACGATGCTCCACTGCCTGGTGGATCAGACCTGTAGGTCAAAGGCTACGGATGTGACCCCCTAAGAAAACCACCTGCTTCCTTGTACCAATATTTATGTGTTTAAATGTTCTTATTCAACTAATAGGAGAGCTACACATCGACATTCTAGAATGTTCCCCTAGTGGTGGTTGGATGGAATGTCTTTGACTCTTTCTGGAGTTCTTGAGTCTGCCGACGAGCCATCCTAACAAATTCATTTGAGAGGGTCTTGTAGAAATGGTCCAGACTCGTAGCTTTTATTACTTACTTACTTACTTACGCCTGTTACTCCCAATGGAGCATAGGCCGCCGACCAGCTTTCTCCAACCCACTCTGTCCTGGGCTTCCTTTTCTAGTTCTATCCAGTTCTTGTTCATTCTTCTCATGTCTGTCTCTATATCTCGGCGTAGTGTGTTCTTTGGTCTTCCTCTTCTCCGTTGACCTTCAGGATTCCATGTGAGGGCTTGTCTTGTGACGCAATTAGCTGATTTCCTCAGGGTGTGCCCAATCCACTTCCAGCGCTTCTTCCTGATTTCTTCCTCTGCTGGAATCTGGTTTGTTCTCTCCCACAGTAACTTATTGCTGATAGTGTCCGGCCATCGGATACGAAGTATCTTGCGTAGACAGCTGTTGATGAACACTTGTATCTTCTGGATAATGGCTTTCGTATTTCTCCACGTCTCCGCCCCATACAGTAGAACTGTCTTCACATTTGTATTGAAAATTCTAACCTTGGTGTTGGTTGACAATTGTTTTGAGCTCCAGATGCTTTTCAGTTGTAGGTATGCTGCTCTCGCTTTGCCGATCCTTGCCCTCACATCTGCATCTGATCCACCGTGTTCATCAATGATGCTGCCCAGATATGTAAAGGTTTCCACATCCTCCAAAGCTTCTCCGTCAAGTGTAATTTGATTGGTGCATATTGTATTGTATCGGAGAGTCTTGCTTTTCCCTTTGTGTATATTGAGACCTACTGCAGCTGAGGCTGCTGCTACACTGGTCGTTTTCTCCTGCATTTGTTGTTGCGTTTGTGATAGAAGAGCCAGATCATCCGCGAAGTCTAAATCGTCAAGCTGCATCCTGCCTGTCCACTGTATCCCGTGCTTTCCTCCAGATTTTGACGTCTTCATAATCCAGTCGATCACCAGGAGAAAGAGAAAGGGTGAGAGTAAGCAACCTTGTCTAACACCAGTCTTTACTTGAAACGAGTCGGTGAGTTGTCCTCCGTGGACGATTTGGCAGTTTAGTCCATCATAGGAGTTCCGTATGATATTTACTATTTTCTCAGGCACGCCGCACTGTCGAAGAAGCCTCCATAGTGTCGTCCTGTCCACGCTATCAAATGCCTTCTCGTAGTCGATGAAGTTGATGTAGAGTGATGAGTTCCATTCGATTGATTGTTCCACAATGATCCTCAGAGTTGCGATTTGATCTGTGCACGATCTATCCATACGAAATCCAGCTTGTTGATCTCGAAGTTGGGCATCTACGGAATCCTTCATCCTGTTTAACAATACTCGGTTGAAGACTTTCCCTGGTATTGAGAGAAGAGTGATGCCCCTGTAGTTGTCGCACTTGCTCAGATCGCCTTTCTTTGGTATCTTGATCAGAAGTCCTTTTTTCCAGTCTGTTGGTACTTGTTCTTCGTCCCAAATCTTGCTGAAGAGGATGTGGAGTATCTTGGCAGTGGCTGTTACATTTGCTTTCAGTGCCTCTGCCGGGATGTTGTCTGGTCCCGCTGCTTTGTCACTCTTGACTTGTCTAATAGCCATGCTGATCTCTTCAATTGTTGGTGGGCCAATATCGATTGGGAGGTCCATGGGTGCTGCTTCGATGTTGGGTGGGTTCAGTGGGGTTGGTCGATTCAAGAGTTCTTTGAAGTGTTCTACCCACCTGTTTCGTTGTTCTTCAATGTCGGTGATTACTTTGCCTTCCTTGCTCTTCACTGGTCTTTCTGGTTTACGGTAATTTCCAGCAAGTTTTTTTGTTGTATCATACAATTGTCTCATGTTTCCTTCTCTTGCAGCCTTTTCCCCTGTCGTTGCTAAATCTTCAACATATTTACGTTTTTCGGTTCTGATGCTCCTCTTCACTTGCTTGTTTCCCTCTGTGTATTCGGCTTGTGCCTTGGCTTTTTCCGCTCTTGTTCGGCTGGTATTGATTGCAGCCTTCTTGTTTCTTCTTTCTTCAATCTTATCCATTGTACCAACAGTGATCCATTCCTTGTGATGGTGCTTCTTTTGGCCCAGAACCTTTTGACACGTTGAAACGATTGCCTCCTTGATACCTTTCCAGTTGCTCTCCATGGTAGTTCCCTCTCCATCGAGTAGATCATGAAAGGCCTCGAACCTGTTGCTGAGGTCTATGTTGAATTTGTTGAGTTTGTCAGCATCTCGAACAAAGGCCGTATTAAACTTTTGTGATGTTGTCCGCGCCGTTGTCCACTGCTTCTTGAGTTTTAGTTTCATCTTGGCGACCAGCAAATGATGATCGGATGCTATATCAGCTCCTCTCCTGGTTCTCACATCCTCCTCCTGAACTTTTTGTTGATGCAGATATGGTCGATTTGATTCTGTGTAGTGTGATCCGGTGAAATCCAAGTGGCTTTGTGTATGTTTTTGTGTGGAAATATGGTGCCACCTATGACCAGTTTATTGAAGGCACATAGGTTTGCAAATCTCGCACCATTTTCGTTCCTTCCTCCCAGTCCATGTTGTCCCATGACGTCTTCGTATCCAGTGTTGTCCTTTCCAACCTTAGCATTGAGATCTCCCATCAGAATTGTCAGGTCTTTGGTTGGGCACTTATCGATGATCGACTGCAGCCTATCGTAGAACTGGTCTTTAGCGTCTTCATCGTAGTCATTGGTAGGCGCATAGCATTGGATGACGTTCATTGTAATGCCCTCTCACTTTGTTCTGAAGGAGGCTTTGATGATCCTTGGTCCATGAGATTCCCATCCTATAAGTGCATTTTGTGCTTTTCTGGACAGCATCAATGCAACTCCTTGTGTATGTGGGGCATTTTCTTCTTCATGACCGGAGTATAACAGAAGTTCTCCTGAAGACAGTCGTTGTTGTCCAACATGCGTCCAATGTGTTTCGCTGATTCCAAGAACCTCCAGGTTGTATTTTCTCATTTCTGCACCAATTTGGAAAACTCTTCCGGTCTCCCACATTGTCCGGACATTCCATGTACCTATAAAAATTGTCGCTCTGGTTGTAAGAAGGTGCATCGGCCTCATGACTTCCGAATGAACTCGGCTTTCATCATGAGATGTCATAATTATTCCTTCTACTCCCAGGGCAGAGTTTGAAAGGTTTGAATGATTTTTTCTGGTTAGCGTTTTTTTAGCGAGTTGATTTTCTATGGGATGGGGTTGCTAACCCCATGCCCAACCCTCCTCCTTTACCCGGGCTTGGGACCGGCAGCAACCCCCAGAGGAGCTACAGGCGGAGTTCGTAGCTTTTATCCATACGACTAATCTCAGCCGAACTACTATTGGAAACCCTAGAGCTTTGGACAGTTGTTTCGTCCCCTGTATAGGGCTTTTTGTCAGTGTACACACACGAGCCTACCAGAGATCCGATTCAAGACCCTCAGGACGTTTTATTGTTAGAATGAATGGGTCAGTATCTAGTATGATAATTTCGACTTTAATCAAACTAACACGGTGATAAAAACATAAAGTGTCATCGGTGACAACTGTTTCATTTCTAATATGACTGAACTCCACTACCAGTCACAACATTTTACTAGGATTTCAAGAAAATCTTGAAGTCACTGGTCAGCTGTATATGTTAGTTTGGTTGAAGAGGTTTTGTAGAGATCGGTTACATCTATGACGATTACGACCTACAGAATAAAATTTAGCCTCAGATCAAGATACCGGATCATTAAAAAAATCTCAAATTCAAGAAAACGACAAATGTGTAAAAGTCTACTCACAAATAAATGTTTAAGATTTTTTCCTATAGAAAAATGAGGAAACTTTTAAAACAGCCAACCAACCTAGACATTAACAACGCTCCAAATTCAGCGCCATCATCTTCAATACATGCATCAACTGTGTTAGACACATTTGGAGTAGTTTCATTCAGAAATTCTTCTCTTCCAAGGAACATTGCCTCTTCGTCAAATATCTGAGGTGAAACAATAGTTTCACGTGTGTTCGATTGAACAAATCCAGAAGAATGTCTAGTCCGACGACGACTAGTAGCAGTAGTGTTGACAGGATGACTATCATCAATATCTTTAGATTTGTACGTTCTACGTCGAGGAGTAGATCTTGGGATTGAGCCTACTGTATTCACATTTGACATAGGTTGAACATCATTTTGTAGAAATGGTTTCATAGTACAGATAGGAGGAGTTGTAGTAATTTGTACTGGATTTGAACAGTCCGTATTTATTTGAGTGGTTGTTGTAGACAATTGAGAGCAATTGTTTTTTGCATTTGAAGTACACTTGGGCGTCACATTAAAAATATCTTATTGTAGAAGAAAAAAGAAGTTAGGGAAAAATAAACTGAATGCATTAGACTATTATTGAGAATATGGTCTATGAAAGCAGAAGACGTACATAAGAGCAACAAATAATCTATTATAGTTCACTTCGAAGCATTAGTCAAGTACAGTGAAACTGAATGAACAAGTCGAATGATGGGACCAAAAAAATTCATCAACTAGAGGTAATTAAGGGTGTGCTATGTATGTTTAACCATCAACTATGTTGATGTAGAATGTTAGCTGACAGCAGTAGGATGGTAAAAAAAAATAGAGGACAGGAAGATCAGTACATGAGATCAAGTAATGTAAATCATTAAATGTCGATCTGATTTATTTATTTGAACACACACATATTGGTACAAAGGGGCACCAGATACATATGCGCCACACAAAATAATGAGAATGGAAAGAGAAAGGGGGAAGAAGCGTATATATAAAGGAAAAAACGGATGAAAAAAAGAGAAGAGTAATGATGGGGGGAACTGGAATGTACAACAGGAAGACTCTTTCGATTAAGAAAGTTAGAACCACTCTTTATGAAGAAAGTAAAAGAAGGTTACAGCAGGATCGCCACTGGCTTCTATTCTGAACCATATCTGATAACGTCTCTAGCCACTGTGTTGCACCATCTCTCGGACCCCAACCAGGGAGTCGTGAAGGACCAACAGAAGCCAGCCCTTTGTCGATCTGATGCAAACTTTCTGTGATCAATGCTAGCTTGATACCAATAACCAGAAGTTGGATATGTTATGCGATAACATGATGCAAGATTAACTACAGTGGTATATTTGTATTATTTATTTCGTTGATTGCTTTCTTCGTTGTTGTTATATTTACAGCTTTGATTCTTGCTATGCCGCGTACTACTAGACCACTTAAACAATAGAACCCGCAACGTCGCAAGAGAGAAGACAGAAGACTAGTAATTAGGAATTTTATTCCCCAAACAGTATCAAATATAGTATAAAAATCTCATGTCCTTTTTATTCATCCAATAGGGAAGGTACACGTCGACATTCTAGAATGTTCCCTTAATGGTGATTGCATGAAATGTCTTCGGCTCTTTCTAAGCTTTTTGAGGCTTCCTTGAGTTTGCCAACGAGCAATCTTTACAGTTGTATGAACATAAAATATGATCACCTGGTTCTATACACAATTATGTCACATCTTATCATACTGGTGATAACTGACTAATTATTGTAGTGAATCAATTATAGAAACATAATTTATGATTAAGACTGTAAATACAATATGATCCACACTATATGATGGAAAACATGAAAAGATCAGATTGAAATTAGATTAGATTACGAAATACAGTGATTAGGTCATACAATTTTACCCTATATCAATTGCTTAGTATCAGAATTTATTTATTTACTTGAACACATAAATATTGGTACAAGGAAGCACCAGACACATATGCGCCGCACAAATCTCATTTGATTTGTATGAGGGCTGTCATACTGCTCAGGTGCCCAGACTGAAGCATGTGGTTTTCTTAGGGGGCCACACCCCGAGCCTTTGACCTGAAGGTCTGATCCACAAGGCAGTGGAGCATCGTGAGGAGATGCAATCCCATGGTAGACGGTGACCAACGATTGATTCATACGCCATTTTTTTCCTTGGGAGCCTGGATCCCATGTGCACCATCGTTTTGAAATCAGGGTTTTCCAATTCCCTTAGGTGGACTCACCGTACCCACCAACCCGTTTAAAGCACCGGACATTCGCTTTTCATCCTCTCAATTTCGTAAACAACACCCGTGATGCGAGAATGCAGTGGGTAGGACTTTCCTGGCAGAGGCTGTATACGCGTGGCCATATGAGAGCATTTGGAAAGGGAGGGCGGGCCCTCTCCACTCTCGTCCGTACCAGGGCATTTGGGGGGTCCAAACGGTATAATAAGTAGTAAGTCTATCAAATCTGATAATAGTATTTTTTCAGAAAAGTTTATACATCAACTTACTTTTACGAGGAGTTTTTATTCGTTTTGGACTATGAATTAATTGAATTAATGTTGTATTTAAACGATGATGATCTGATGAAGAAATCATATTGGCTAGTAAATTAGAATTACGACGTAATAAACGTGGAGGTGTTGATGGATTAACATTTTCATTGATAAGATCATTATTTATATGTACAGAATTTGATTGAATATTAGAAATTTGTGTTGAGAATTGACTTAAGCTAGCTTCCTCTTCTAACTGACGTCGTCGCCAACGTTCAGCACGTGACATTGCTACGGACAAACATGAATCCTTATATTGTATCGGTAATTCTTGACTAAACTGAAGTGATGATTCACGAGTTAGTCGATTGTTATCTTCATTATCATCATCGGAATTTAATGGTAGACTGGAACTATTACTCAATAGTGTTGGAAGACCACCACCACCACCACTGTGAGTTTGAGCTGTTATATTGGCAGCTTCTTGTGCTTCTATATACAAAAGACTATTTAGCATAGAATTAGCTCGACGTAGCCGACGTAATGGACTGACTGTTGTTAGCGGTGGTTTTATTGGTGATTCATCTACAATAATTGCCTGTTGAGAAGACAAACACAAAAAGAAGTAAATAAGTAGTGCTTTTAGTGTTTCATACAATTAAACTGTGAACTGATTAGCAGGGATATTTGTGCCTTAACCATTAAGATTATATAAACGATGTGGTAGAACATTAGAAGCAGGTATGAAAAGGATTGCCCAGGACAGAGTTGGATGGAGAAGCTGGTGAGCGGCCTATGCTCCTCGATGAGGGGTAACAGGCGTAAGTAAGTAAGTAACGTGGTAGAACATTAGCTGTTAACCAATAATAACGTAGAAAAGATTAATGATATAGTAAAAAAAATACTTCTGAACATATGCTAGTAAGTGACTTGTTGTACATGTTATGGGAGTTTATTTCCGGTCATTTTACTTTAAAAATGAAGTAAGATTGTACACATATGGTATTACACTGAAATCATAATGAAAATAGGCATTGAGAAATGGATTATATAAAGGAGTTGAGATTTTTGTGATCATATGATTTGAAACAAGAATTAGAATACAAGTATAAATAAAGAACACAATCATGGTGGGTTCGTTGAAAAAGAGAAATCTTAGGAGAACAACAATGATTTAACACAAATAGTCTTAATCGCTGAAAAATTCCCATCATATTAAAAACAATTATATAGTCTTCAAACCGCTAACCTACCGCTATTTATTTTATTTATAGGTACAAGGCACCAGATATATATGCGCCACACAAAAAATTGTCATTTCCCTAAATTGTGTGAGGACTATGATACTGACCTGAAGGTCTGACCCACAATACAGCGCACCATTGTGAGGAGATGCAGTCCCATGGTTGCCGGTGACCAACGACTGGTTTATACGCCATTTGTTCCCTCAGGATACTGGAGCCCATGTGCACCATTGGTTTGGAATCAGGCTTTTCCAACTCCCCCAGGTGAACTTTTTGTGTCCACCACCCCGGTTAAATGGCAGGACATTCGCTTTTCGTCCTCTCAATTGCGTAAACATCATTCCCATTGCGAGAAGGCAATGAATAGGACTTCCCTGACAGTGGCTTTATACGCGTGGCCATGTGAGAGCATTTCGGGAGGAAGAGCTAACTCTCCCTACCATCGGCTATACCAGGGCATTTTTACTGTTACCTTTTATGAAAGTATTATTGTATAAGTGATGGTTTAATTAAGAGACATTTTTTTCCAATCTAAAGAACTAATTTGATAAGGGAACGAAGGGATGTAAGTAGTACAATTTCTCCCCCCCCCCATGGTAATCAGTGTCTTACATTTCGGACTCTTGAGTCCATAGGGATAACTGGTTTGGGATCAGTGTTTGACAAATTTATAAGAGTATACACTTTTTTTCGAAAGTAACCTTACTACGTAAAGTGGTAAACAGGACTTCAATGATACTTTATAGATAGGTAAACATAACCTTTTTAACCAAATTAATCTAAAAACAGAGAAAAATATAGCTACAAAAATCCCAGTGACTTTTGCTAAATGCACAGAAATATACCTTATTTTTTGTTTTCTCTGCTGCAGCCAACTTAGCTCGTTCCCAACGAGGATATGATTTCTCTGGATTAGGTGTCTCATGTACTGACCGTCGATGGTTACAACGTTTTGAATCGGTATTCGCCCTCCTTTTAGATTCTCCTCTTGTTGAAGTGGACGTTTCCGACAATGTCGACTTTTGCCTTAAGCTATTAGCATTAGGAGACGTGATAGTATGTGAACGTGATCGATTTGAACTCCTTGGAGTACGAGCTGACGTTGAAGCTGGAGTCCGTTTTGATGAATTAGCTGAAGGATTCCTTTGTCTTGTAGTAGGTGTTGTGCTAACAGAGTAGAAATACAAGAACAAATTTCAAATAAAGACTTTGACAAACTAAACAAATAACAGAGGAAATAATATTAACATCTAACTAACTAGAACATAAAATGTTCACTTACAAATAACAGGAGGATAGTCGACAATGAATTAGTGTTTTGATTTTTAATTCCAAAGCCATTAAGTAAGTAACCTTCAGTTAGTCTTTGGGACATCAATATATATTCGAAAATTTTATCCAGTGACGCCTTTTAAATTACTACAAATACAGAGATCCCTGATAGCATATTATACTTACTTACGCCTGTTACTCCCAATGGGGCATGGGCCGCCGACCAGCATTCTCCACAACCCGCTCTGTCATCCGTCTTCTTTTCTAGTTCTTTCGTTCATTCTTCTCATTTCTGTCTCCATTTCTCGGCGTAATGTGTTCTTTGGTTTTCCTGTTCTCCTTTGGCCTTCAGGATCTCATGTGAGGGCTTGTCTTGTGACACAGTTGGGTGATTTTCTCAATGTGTGTCCTATTCACCCCCACCGCTTCTTCCTGATTTCTCCTTACACTAGATGGAATCTGGTTTGTTGTCTCCCACTGTAAAGTGTTGCTGATAGTGTCCGGCCAACGGATCCGAAGTATCTTGCGTAGAACACTGTTAATAAACACCTGTATCTTCTGGATGATAGTTTTCCACGTCTCCGCGACATACAGTAGAACTGTCTTGACATTCGTATTGAAAATTCTAACCTTGGTGTTGGTTGACAATTGTTTTGAGTTCCAGATGTCCTTTAGTTGTAAATATGCTGCTCTTGTTTTGCCGATCCTTGCCCTCACATCTGCATCTGATCCACCGTGTTCATCAATGATGCTGCTCAGATATGTAAAGGTTTCCACACCCTCCAAAGCTTCTCCGTCAAATGTGATTCGATTGGTACACGTTGTATTGTATCGGAGAGTCTTGCTTTTCCCTTTGTGTATATTGAGACCTACTGCAGCTGAGGCTGCTGCTACATTGGTCGTCTTCTCCTGCATTTGTTGTTGCGTATGTGATAGAAGAGCCAGATCATCTGCAAAGTCGAAATCGTCAAGCTGCATCCTGCCTGTCCACTGTATCTCGTGCTTCCCTCCAGATGTCGATGTCTTCATGATCCAGTCGATGACGGATCTAAAAGGTTTACTTAACAATTAATAGTATGATTTGTCTTACTAGAAAATTTTAAATTAAACCTGCTACTTGGAATCGTGTGGTAACTGAATGTATCTATTTTATTATAATAATTATTGTTATGCACAATAGGTAAATTAAGAGACCAAAACAAAATACATCTACCGTAAAAAGATAAAACAAGATAACCAATTTCCAACTCTGTGTTTCATACATAACAAGGAGTATGCTATAAAAATCATCGAAAGAAAAGTATCAGAAAAAAAATTAGACTAACTTTGTTGGCTTCTTTCGAGATTCTCGTTTTACTGGTATGCGTTTCGTTGGAGTACGGCATTTTCGTTTTGATCGTTGACATGGTATAAGTACTAGATGAGGAGTTGGCAAGGTCTTACAAGATTGATATTTACTAGATGACTCTATGTTGACAGGACATGAATTAATAACATTGGATAAAATTGGAGTGGATGTCAAAGGATTAGGGGTTTCATTGGATGAAAGTGAGATCTGTATTGAATCAGTAAACAAAGCACGTGGAAGCGATTGTCTGAGGGTATTACGTGGTACTGGTGAAGATTGCATGACATTTGATGGTCTATTATTTATAGAAAATGATAAATGAAAATTGAATAACTTGTCAACAAATAATTCCTGACTATAGGAAAGATAAATTAGATATTTTGATCAATATTCACATCAAAAAGTCTTATTAAGTGAAATGAGTCCGAGTATATTACAAACCTGATAATTTGACAAGATTTCTTATCTAATACGCTATACTGGACTTATCTGATGGTATTAAATACGATTGTCTTAATTCACCGTCTATTAACTGCTAACAACCATACGGGGTTATTTGCATTCACGCCGAAACCTATTACAAATGTGCTACAAATTCTAAAGAGTAAATTGTATTTTTAGTGTTAATGTGGCTCAAGTATCCCCCAAATGTCCCGGTAAGGCTGAGGGTGGGGAGAGTCCGCTACCCTCCCGAAATGCTCCCTTATGGCCATGCGTGTATAGCTACTATCAGGACAGTCCTACTGATGCCTTCCTGAGGTAGGGGTGTTGTTTACAAAATTGAGAGGACGAAAAGTGAGTGTCTGATGCTTACACTGATAGTGGGTATGGAGTATTCATCTATGGGAGTTGGAAAACCCTGGTTCCAAATCATTGGTGTACATGGGCCTCAGAATCCTCGAGAAACAAGTGGAGTATGAACCTATTATTGGTTGCCAGATACCATAGGGTCACAAATTCTACAGTTGCCTCACTGTCTTTTGGGTTAGATCTCCGGGTTAAAGGTTCGGGGTGTGGCCCCCTAAGAAAACCACCCGCTTCGGTTTAGGTACCCAGGCAGTATTCCAGTCCACACACTAACTCAATAATGTGTGGAGCATATATATTTCGACAACTTTTTACCAGTTTATTTGTTTATTTAAACAAATATATAATTCCACTTGAAAAGATTATTATTCTGAGCTGTGTATAGAACTGTACGTCATTATGATAATGGTTTGCAAAACAGATGGAATCGATTATATAAAACTTGGAATGATATGGTTGAAATTCGACAATGTGACAACTAGTCCAGTCTAACTTCCCACAAAGTATATATGTAGTGTACTTTATTTAAACTTGTTTTGTTTAGTTTTCTATGGTGAAAAATAGTGGTTCCTCAATTTAAGTCTATATCTTGCATATGCACCAAGTAATAAGGAAGTAGTAGTTGAGCGTGTCGACCACTTCACTTATCTTGGGAGTCTCAGACAGTCAGTCACAACGTAGAACTTCGTACGTACGTACGTACATCAGTTCGAGTTGCCATGCCACATTAGCACAGAGATGCAGTTGTCGATTCAAATCCCATAGTGGTAGAAGTAGCAAGAGTATAAGCAGTAATCGAAAAGATTAGGGCTCTGTGATCACGCTCCCAGATCGTCATGACCAAAATTAATCCAACTTCCTTTTCAGGTCCCTCAAGAAATACCCTTCCACGGTGTGGGCAGCCGGGAAGTGATATTAGCCCTCGTACGTGTAACAGCACATGAGACCAAGTTGGTCACATTGAAATCCCTCCTGCACCTCCTAATAACTCTCTTATCTTCACGACTGACCGTTCTTACGTCCTTTTTTCACCTCGCACCGCTAGGGCAAACGATTCGAGTACGCGGGACATTATTCCCAGTCTCCTGAAACCACTCTCTAAACCACATGTAGGAACCTTGAACGTCCGAACATTGTGCCAAATAGGACAACAGGCTTTCTTAGCTAAAACTTTAGAATCTCGCACCATCGATGTGTGCTGCGTCTCCGAAATGCAGGATCCGGGTGCAGTCATTCATTTGACCTCACTATGTCATAATAAAGAACCAACTCGATTCACACTTCGTGTATCTTGGATCCCTGATGCTGCTTCCCGTGGCCTCGCTAGTGTAGGTATAGCATTGAGTCCTAGGGCAGAACTAGCTCTTTTGAACTGGATCCCAGTAGACAGTCCTCTGTGCACTGTCCGATTAAACGGAACAGCAAGGACTCAGAAAGATAGGGACACTTGTCGTTGCCTCTTCGTCGTCTCTGCCTACTCTCCCACTGACTGCAGCTCAGATGACGTACAAGATGAGATTTACAGAAAGCTTCCCGACCCTCTCCGAAAAGCTAGGCACTCTGATGTAGTAATGGTGGCTGGCGACTTAATTGCTCAAGTAAGTAAATTAAGTGAAGGGGAAAGACACCTGGGTGGATCTTATGGTATCGTGGCTCAAAGGACAGATAATGACGACCGTCTGTTGCAGCTATGCTTAGATAACCACCTGTTTCTTGCAAATACTAACTTTAAGCATAAGGAAAAACATCTTTTGACATAGCGACCCCCGAATTCGTCTCAACGTTGGACTCAAATAGATTACGTCGCTGTCAGCCACCGATGGAGGGGCTCGATAATATACTGTAGCTCGTTCCGAAGCACATACTTACATTTAAATTATGCTCTAGTGCGAGCACGTATCTGTCTGCGTCTTACTGGACGTGGGAAAGACGCTGCAAGGAAACTGCTAGTACGGTAAAGTATAAGGTTAGGGAGAAACACGAACTCAGCAGCATCTACCTCACTGATAGATGCTCAAAATCTTATCCCATTTGGCTATGAGCATAATGAAGAGCGGAGTAGACTTAAGCGCAGGCTAATAAGAAGTCCATGCAATGATGGCGAACAGTAGTGGGTAGCGAAAGCAATAGATGGAAAAGGCAACAGCAGACAACTGTTCAGACTATTTAAAGAAGCAGCATTAGGAACCCAACTGTCAGAGAAACTATCTCGGAAAAAGACGAACATATTATCCATTCTCAATCCAGGAGATTGGATCGATGGGCAAAACACTTTAGGGATCAGTTCAATTGGCCTTCAGCTACATTCCGGTTCCCCACGATCCCCAGTCGACCTGAATGGCAAGTTAATGTAAGTCCACCAACTCTTTACGAGGTCGGAAAAGCTATAGGAAGTTCGAAACGTGGGAGAGTAGCAGGCCCTGACAGGTTCACCCCTGAGATTTTTAAGGATGGCGGTCCAGTAATAGCAGCGAGATTGACCAAGGTCTTAGGTAGAATCTGGGAACTGGACGTAATTCCATCTGATTGGTCCCAATCACTGATTGTGCCAGTCTATAAGAAAGGACAAAAGTCCTCTTGTGACAATCACGGAGGGATCAGTTTGACTAATATAGCAAAACGTGGTACAAATCCATGAGGTCACTCACTGACAAGTGGACTGAACCATGTTGGTAGGTGTAGACTACCTGGTTGGGACCCGCGAGATGGTAACAACCGATGGTTAGAGACCTTGAATGACATGACTCAAAATCGTTTGCAATAGCGTAGGTGCATCCACTCTTTGTGTTCTTCCGAATTCTAATCTTCTGAATTTTTCATGTCTCTATCTTTTTTCTCTTTCCAAATTTATTTCACTGGATTATACTCATGCAACAACATCTTCAAACCCTAATCTTTCGGATTACTGCTTATACTCTTACTACTTCTACCACTATGGGATTTGAATTGACAACTGCATCTCTGTGATGTACGTACGTACGAAGTTCTACGTTGTGACTGACTGATCAGGTAATATATATATCGCTTCATGGCTGGAAGTGTTGTTCTTCTTTTCTACCTCTTTTTGACCACTTATTAGAAATGTTAGGTCATTATTAACGAACTTTATGGTTGTAACCAAGTTTGCCAACTACACTGCATTCACTAAAACTCAACTGAAATTATTTATTTATTTAAACACATACATATTGGTACGAAGGGGCACCGGATATATATGCGCCACACTATGCTGCATAAGTTGAAAAGTAAGGATACACAAATTGTGAATAAAAAGGAGTGAATAAGCGACATGGTAAATAATAATAATAATAATAATAATAATAATAATAATAATAATAATAATAATAATAATGTAAATTGTCTGGCATTTAGTAAGAGCGTAGATAGGATTGTCAGTAGAAATCATCATTTCATTTACTTGTGTGAGGGCTGTGATACTACCCGGGTGCCCAGACCGAAGCAGGTGGTTTTCTTAGGGGGCCACACCCCGAGCCTTTGACCTAAAGGTATAATACACAAGACAGTGGAGCATCATGAGGAGATACAGTCCCATAGTCAGTCAGCGACAACGTAGGACCAGACACATTTATGCATCGGTCCAAGTTGCCATACCTCGTTAGCACAAGATGAACACCGGATTCATAGTAGTTAATTTAGTGGTGGTAGTATATAAAAGATAGGTTGTATATAAGGATATGGTACGGAAAGGAAAAAAGTTATGAAGCAATTTTAATCTCAAGGTTTAAGGGAAGATAAAGAGTGTATACACCTACTCCATTGTGATCGATTCTGAGCCATGTCACCCAGAGTCTCCAACCATTGGTTACGATAGTCACGCGGACCCCAACCAGGTAGTCTGCATCTGCCAACATGGCTCAGACTAGAAGTTAGTGACTTCGCGAGCTATTTAAAAGGACAGTGGTATTGTTTCACGTTGAGCTTAATTCACTGTTTTGATCGTAAATTACGTATCAAAACACCCCCACCTTCTCTTGGCGGGGGTGTTGTTGAAGTTGGCACAAACGTTCCGGAAACCTTATTCATTAAAGTCTAATAGCTCAATGGTAGTAAATTAAAAACCTTAAGGGTAAGGAACGAACTAAAAACCCCATGATGGAATTGAAAGTACTTTTTCAGTTTACTTAACGGGAGACGGGGTAGCAATTTGTTGTGAAAGTGAGAAAATTAGATGATAGATGGAAAATGTTGAAATCAAACCAGCAGAAGTTTTAGGATGATTAGATGGGATTTTCCGGATACAGAGAAGTCTATTATGTTCATAATTGTGGACCTCATAACAAGGTGCTTACGATTTTTAATACAAGCAGGAGTGACATAACAGGAAAATTATAGTGTTAGGACTGTTCATTAGCAGAATCTCAGAATGAATGTCACTCGATGATGTGATAGCGAATGCAGAGCTTAACACAAAAAATTCACCATTTAAAGCTACCAAACTTCAAAATTTTAAGGGCTGAAGATTAACAGCATTATTAGGTGGGGAAACTAGATTTGACTCACAGGATTTATTATGATTTGAAGACCAACAATGAAAGTTAAGTCAACGGATGGTTTTGAATTCAGTGCTGGAGGTCTTCATTTACTGAGTTCTAACACCAGGATTCCAGTCCGAAACCCTTCATCTCTACATGATTAAACTCAGGCCGCTAACCTGACGAAGAAATATCGTGTTTTGATAAAATGCATGTGGGTAATGGGTCAGGTGCAATTCTCGGTCATTCACATGGCCGTAGCAGAAATCGAAGGAACATGTGACCAAGTTCAGTAACCTACCCATACTAAAGCGAAGAAGTTCCATGTTTTCCCATAATTTTTGGTCCAAAGTGTAAGCATAGTGCATGCTCTTTTGCGGATCGATAAGTGATAATTTAGGGAAGGGGTAGTTTGTCGCAATCCAAAGTAGAAGGGCATAGATAGGAACTTTAGTCATTATTAGCAAAAAGTAGTGGTTAAAACTGCTTTGGACAGTAAAAAAATAGGTAGCACGAACCGAGGTGAACTTGATATGACCCCATCGACTTCATCCACATTTTCTTCTAGAGTACGTGATACTGATGTCGTAAGTTCCGTATCATTGGGTAGGCACTCAGGAGGTTCCAAACCAAGATTCATATACACATAAAATAGTGTGCGACCAAAGGTTGTCTTGTACCTTTAAAGCAATTAATTGGTAGAGAAATTACCTATCGACAACTTCCAATTTTAGAAAGTTTTTCCATTCATTCCAAGTAGGATCACATAAGCTAAGCCGGCTGATTAGTTCTGAAATCTAACCTGATTAGATAACCAATTTACTTACCCAGTCACCAAGTTCGTGGTCAGCACACATATCGTCTTCTTCAAACGAGCATAGGAGACGAGTATGAAGGACCAACAAAATTTGAAATTGTAGCCTGGAGTAGTTTGAGAATGACTGACTTACTCTCTAGACAATCTTTCGTTTCCATTGTCTGAAGAATGCCTTTCTAGAATCTGCTTACATGACATCTTCATTTCGCTATCTACGCGTTGTGCCAGAGACTAAAATGGTGATTAACAACTAGCGGTAATACTTTTTTCTCTTCAGGTGATAAGCCTATACTTATTTCTGACAGCCGAGTAGTAAATTCAAGCACTGTAATTTCACCATTTTCAACCGCGTTATCAAAAAGACTTTTTATGTCAGAGAAATGGCAATTTGAGGTCGACATTCCCGATCACAACGAAGTACAGAAACACCCCATTTGCGGATTTCAAAACAGTCCCATCGCTCGTATGACCTTTAGGATCTAACAGAAATCAATCATTTAAAAAAGTTTGAATTTTCTGTCAGTCACAAAGCATTGTTCTATGAGGTATAAAAAATCGTACCCTGTGTTAAAATCGAGCATTTTAAGAAATTTTTTACCTCATTTAGTTTGTGGTTGCCTGAACAACATAGATTTCAAAAATAAACGCTCTTCATGAAAATGAAAGGACTAGTTATTCGTTTACATTCGTGTTTTGTGGTATTATATACTGTTTTTATACGATGAAAGATAAGAAAATATGTATCGATCTTTTTCGAACTCGAAAAAAGAAATGAGTGACTGAGGTGTGAGAATCTGTAGTACGTTAGTATTGCATGTAGAAAATAATTACTTACAGATGCAATTCTAAGCTGATCCATAGGCTGTCAAACACAGAGTCATAGCTTGGCCGAATTTGGAACAAGTAAACTATTCAACTCAATAAACTTTATCTGTCTCATAAAAGTAAATTAACACTGTTAGTTTACAAAAACAGAAATTGGTACAGTCTATTAGGGAGAGAAAGATTCCGAGAGAGATTTCGAACAGTAATTGGAGGACAGATAAAAATGGTTAAACTAAAATGAGCTTTCGACATCTAATAAATATCGTGATTGGTTGATAGACAGAACACACCCATGCAGGGTCGAAAGAAGTCAAGGTAGTGGAATCCCGAATACAAAGACGTCACGGATAAAAGCGTTGTCAAGCCCAGAATATCCGTGATATTTTTAGTGCTGAGCCTTATATGATCTGGTACACTAAGCGACAGGCTTTGAATCCATTCCTTGGTGTAACATTATATATGTTTTTTATTTATTTACATATCGTAATTAATTTGTTGTCCTCAGTTTTGTTGCATATGTGTATATTTGGTTCTTTTGTCCAGAAGCTGACTTCCAAGAGTACCGCATGGCAGACTCGTGTGCATGGTTTTTCTCAGTAGTAAGAGAGCTATCACAATATTTCAGCAGGTACGTTGCACTTTGTGTGGATACTAGTGTTATTTTTGAAACTTACCACACAGAAAAACTCCGTCCTTAAACTCATAGACTTAAACAGTCTATGAGGGTTGGACCAGCTACTACATGATATCAAATCGCGAAACGGATTGGAAAAAGAAATTGTGAGAGAGGTCACTGGACAACGAATTTTGGGTGAAGGCTCTTTTAGGCAATGCCTTTTATCCAAGTTTCCTCAGCAGGTACAAGCCGTTTTTATTACACTCCAATATGACGCTCTAGACTCACAATCGGATACTGGCAATTACCAGAACCCCAAGCATCGAGATTCATTCTGTCAAGGAAAAACATCGATTGACATGAGACAACCTTGTCACTCATTTTTTTAACCATTAGCATAGCTCCTGACAGCCCAGAACTCCTCAAAAAAGCCCATCAGGGACAAGACCTGTTTCTAGACGGCGAGAAACAGATAGCTTCAATTAGTGATGGAGCCGAAATATTCTTGTTGCTTACCATATAATTTCTGGAAATCGTGCATTTTTCTCAACTTTAAACATTTCGAGAAACTCCCTACGAATACCGATGATCGTCTGCAAAATTCAGTCTTCATTTTAGAGTCAGGGAATGAAAAAACCACCGTCAATTATGACGAGAAACAAAATTATCTTGACGTGGGTTTGTTGGGGTGTTGGTTTCTAACCACGCGATTTTTCGAGAAGATTGACGTTTAACACGTAACACGTTGAGGAGGTTGGTAATGGTGAACGCGGTAAGATTCATTGAAGATGGCATGGCTTGGTCATGCAGACGTGGTCACTTTATATAAAACCTACTGGATCTTGTATTAAATAGATTACTTTCTACCCAGCCAAAATGTGTTCTTCAGAAATACTAGACGTTATGTGGCTGATTCTTACGATATGACAAGCTAGAATAAACAATGACGTGACTTGCACGTAAGATCTTATAAATTAGGCCTTTACATCATGACAAATCCACAATTTTGGAATTAGGTCTATTATTGTAGTAATACTGATAACGATTTTGACCGTAATTCTACATTGGTGTGACAGACTAAAGAAATACAGCCTGTCATCAATTCACCCGTTCACTTTAACCCTATCGATTGATTTTTATTTATGTTAGCCCATTTTCCCACTAGTCTGTTGATTTATGATCATGTGTAGTGACCGGCCAGTCTCGATAAGAACACGATTGGAATAACGGAAACAATTATTATTATTGTAACCAATTGTACCAGAGATTGTTTTACTGTATTTGTTTAACTGTATCAGTTTCACTTATGCTTTCGCTCTCCGCCTTGTTCGGTTCGAACTTGCTCACGCACTGCCTGTTCGCCTGTACTCTTTGGCACGTCTCGGTATTATTTCGATACCACGAGATCGCCAATAAATACAATTGATCTGGATTAATAAAGTCTTCTGATTTACGAGCTATCAAAGGAACCAAGTCGTTTTTTTTGGGCGCGTAAACGAATTGTAGTGGTGATCATAGTCCGTCTTCGACTCGACATCCACTACAAACTGGTGAGCCGTATTGGGAACACGCACATCTGGCGAACCACAACCAGTAACCCAATTCTTCAAGCACAGTTCAAACTTGGCCAATTCTTCAAACCAGATCAATCGGGTGAGTCTATTTATCTATCCACTTATGTTGCATATATTCGTATTGATATTTTTCAATATATAATATCTTGGCAACTTACCATGGTGGATAACGATAAGAGTAGTATAAATATAATAGACGCCGAGGTACAGGCTATTAATTTTCGACCGGTTCCTTTTATCCCTCATGATCCAGAAGTCTGGTTCGCGGCACTGGAATCTCAATTTGAGATCCGCCGCATAACCAACCAAAGGCAAAAGTACGCCTACGCTTTGGAATCATTGCCCGGGGATCACTTAACCGCTGTCCGTGAGGTTGTCCTCAATCCGAACGTTCCGAACGTTTACGACCGTCTTAAGTATGCTATCCTTCGACATTTCCTCCCATCAAGAGAGGAACGATTGAGGACTCTCTTAGCAAGTCACCCTATGAGTGATGCTAAGCCGAGCCACCACCTCACGCGCCTGCAGTCCCTTGCAGGAAACTCGACAGCAGACTCTGAGATAGTCAAAGAGTTGTGGCTCGAAGCCTTACCAGTCAGTATCCAGCCAACTCTTACGGCCCTGCTCGAGGACACCCCACTGAACAAGGTGGCCCTCATAGCAGACAAGATTCTAGCACGTGTTAGCGCCAAAGACAACTATATTGTTGCCTCTACTTCCCGTTCTAACATTGATCTCGATGCTAGACTACCTCCGGCTCATGGGGATAGGGACAGATGTATCCATACTCGTCTCAGTTTCCGAGACCGCACAAACGTGCCAGCCTCCTACGTCTCCCGACCCAGGTCACAATCTCGTAAGGCCGTAACGACTCGCCCCAAGCGGGCATCTTCCAAGCCACGCCAGAAGGCGGTTTCGGAAGCGAGTCCAGGTTGGTACTGGTTTCACCGTGCCTTCGGGGCCGGTGCCCGTCATTGTCGAGCTCCTTGCTCATACAAGGCGAGAAACTCCTGAGCCGGTGAGTAAATACGGCCGTACTCACCGGCACTTCACCTCAGGTTGGCCGTTTATTTTACGTGCACGATTATCGCACCAACGCTAGGTACCTTATGGGTACGGGTGCCCAAGTTTCTGTCGTACCTATCAGTAACACTAAGTCTCAAGCCACTATGCTTCGACTACGCGCTGCGAATGGCTCAGTCATTCCCACCTATGGTACACGACAACTTACGGTCAACCTGAGCAACCGACGACAGTATCTGTGGACGTTCATCGTTGCCGATGTTCCCACAGCTATACTCGGTATCGATTTCCTACAGCACTATGAATTGCTGGTCGATTCACGTAGGCTGCAGCTAATTGATACTTCGTCGAACAGCAACTTTATGGGCTTTAAAGCCCACACAAACGCGTACCGAATCACAGGTGTATTTCATTCGCGTGACGATTTATTCCACGCTTTATTTCAGAAATTCCCCAAATTAACTAAACCTTTCGAGGAGACTCCATCGGTGACCAATCGTGTGGTACACCACATAGTCACTGGCGGACCACCAGTCACGGCAAGACCTCGCCGACTGGCACCGGACAAATTAGCTTTCGCTAAACGTGAATTCGACAATTTACTAGCTACTGGTATTATTCGTCCTTCCCATAGTCCTTGGGCCTCACCTCTCCACATGGTTCGAAAAAAGGATGGGGTTAGTTGGAGACCATGCGGAGACTACCGAGCGTTAAACGCAGCTACACGTTTCGATAGCTATCCCATCCCCCACATACATGACATCACGGCATCACTCAAGGGCACGACAATTTTTTCCAAGATCGATCTGGTACGAGCATATCACCAGATCCCAGTCGCTCTTGAAGATATAGAGAAAACTGCTATCACGACTCCTTTCGGTTTATTTGAGTTCCTACGAATGCCATTTGGATTACGGAATGCTGCTCAAACTTTCCAAAGGTTTATCGATAGCATCGTACGAGACCTAGATATTGTTCACGTCTATATTGATGACCTGCTAATCGCATCATCAAGCGTAGATGAACATTATCAACACCTAACGCTACTATTCCAGCGCCTTTCGGATAATGGAATAATAGTCAACCCCGACAAGTGTGAACCCGGGAAGAAGGAAATAAAATTCTTAGGTCACGTTATTAAGCATGAGGGTATTTTACCTTGTGAGGATAAAGTACGTACGATAATGGAGTACACTGTACCGTCCACACTCAAGGAACTGAAGGCATTTCTCGGTTTGGTCAACTTCTACCGACGCTTCATTTCGCACGCGGCAGAACAGTTACGACCGTTAACCGATTTACTTCGCGGTAATCCATGCAAACTGGAATGGAATGACGCCGCACGTACTGCATTTTCAGATGTCAAAACAGCCCTAGCTCAAGCCACACTTCTCGTGCATCCTGACCAATCAGCCACGCTTAGTATAGCGGTCGAT